AAACCTCCGTTTACGAAGTCTTTTTTCACGTCCCTCTTTTTACGAAGTAAATTCCAAATAACGAGTTTTTTTTTTGTGATTTTTGGAAACTGAGATATACTGTGATATACCTCACAATATGGGTATTGTTGGAATCGGAGTGACGTGTAGGTACCGGAAATCGATGTCTGAAGCCATTTTAAAATCCAAGATGGCGGCTTCCGGTTACAGGAAAACTTGGACGTTCTGCCAAATACCCCACAATATGGGTATTTTTGGAATCGGAGTGACGTGTAGGGACCGGAAATCAATGTCTGACGCCATTTTGAAATCCAAGATGGCGACTTCCAGTTACAGAAAAACTTGGAAATTCTGCCAAATACCCCCACAATATGGGTATTTTTGGAATCGGAGTGACGTGTAGGGACCGGAAATCAATGTCTGACACCATTTTGAAATCCAAGATGGTGACTTCCGGTTACAGAAAAACTTGGAAATTCTGCCAAATACCCCCCACAATATGGGTATTTTTGGAATTGGAGTGACGTTTAGGGACCGAAAATCGATGTCTGATGCCATTTTTAAATCCAAGATGGCGACTTCCGGTTACAGAAAAACTAGGAAATTCTGCCAAATACCCCCAAAATATGGGTATTTTTGGAATCGGAGTGATGTGTAGGGACCGGAAATCAATGTCTGACGCCATTTTGAAATCCTAGATGGCAATTTCCGGTTACATAAAACATGGAAATTCTGCCAAATACTAAACAATATGGGTATTTTTGAAATCGGAGTGACGTTTAGGGACCGGAAATCGATGTCTGACGCCATTTTGAAATCCAATATGGCGGCTTCCGGTAGCAGAAAAGCTTGGAAATTCTGTCATACACCCCACAATATGGGCATTTTTGGAAATGGAGGGACGTCTAAGAACCGGAAATCGATATCTGAAGTCATTTCGAAATCCAAGATGGCGGTTTCCGGTTACAGAAAAATTGGCAAATACCTCCACGTCACCCCGATTCTTAAGATACCCATATTGTAGGTTATGTAATATTACTTTTATGTTTTTATGTAACTGGAAGTTGCGATATTGAATTTCAAAATGGCGTCAGACATGGGTTTTCAGTCCTAATAGGTCACCCCGATTCCAAACAACTCATATTGTTGAGTATTTCACAGTATTTTCCTGTGTTTCTGTAACCGGATGTCACCATCTTGGATTTCGAAATGGCGTCAGACATTCCAAACAACTCATATTGTTGAGTATTTCACAGTATTTCCCAGTGTTTCTGTAACCGGATGTCACCATCTTGGATTTCTAAATGGCGTCAGACATGGATTATCGGTTCTCACAGGTCACCCCGATTCCAAATATATCCATATTGTTGTGTATTTTACGGTATTTTTCTGTTTTCCTGTAACCGGAAGCCACCATGTTGGGTTTCAAAATGGCGTCAGACATCGATTTATGGTCCCTACACGTCACCCCGATTCCAAAAATACCCATATTGTGGGGTATTCGACAGAATTTTGAAGTTTTTCTGTTACCCGAAGCCACCATCTTGGATATAAAAATGGTGCCATACATCGATTTCCGGTCCTTCCACGTCACTGTTTCCGGAAGCCGCCATCTTGGATTTAAAAATGGCGTCAGACATCGATTTCCGGTCCCTACACATCACTCCGATTCCGAAATTACCCATATTGTGGGGTATTTGACAGAATTTTCATGTTATCCTGTAACCGGAAGCCGCCATCTTGGATTTTAAAATGGTGTCAGACATCGATTTCCGGTCCATACACGTCACCCTGATTCCAAAAATACCCATATTGTGGGGTATTTGACAATATTTTCAAAAACCTCTTTTTACGAAGTAAATTCCAAATAACGAGTTTTCTTTTTACGAAGTAAATCCCAAATAACGAGGTTTTTTTTTACGCACTAATTCGATTTACGAACCCCCGTTTTGGTTCGTAAATGGAGGTTCCAGTGTATTTGACTTAGCCCGAATGCTCTTCACAGATTGTTAACAGGGTACAGTTTTTCTTTTTGGTATATTTTACCAGAAAAACATTATTTATTTCTATAATTTTGTCTCAGACATCATTTAGATCACAAGTGCCGATTCCGTGCTGCAATTTTTTTTTAAACTTTCCATTTGCAATTTGACTAATTTTACCATGGCAAAATGGCCGAAATTTATCAAAAAGTGAATAATTGCACAGAACAAACAATCAGTGTTGGCAAAAACAGAAATCAATTGATATTTTTCCGCTCTCATGTGCTCGCAATATCACGCGTGATATTGGAACAAAATATCATGCTTGATATTGATTTTACAAGCTCCTTTGATATTGCTAGACTATTCACAGCGTGCAAAAATCAAACTCAATACAAAAATGATTCCACTGCACATCGTTTTTTTAGAAAGAGAGAGCATATATAGTTTGCTATCTCTTTTTAATCTTCACCGATGGCAGACGCGAAGGGACTGCTGCAAGCCTTTTTGGAAGTTTTGGTTGCATTCGGGTGTAAAGCAAAAATCATTAAACTCAATCTCACCACAGTTTGGTGAGATTTGCAGTTGGTGAGTTTTGTTAGCTTGATATTCCGAGCTGCGATATCACAGCTTGCAAAATCAACCGCAGTAGTTTGCTTGTAGAGTTTTGTCTACGAAATGCAAGCGCGATCTTGGGTGTTGGTGAGATTTGATTTTTTGATATTTTCCCAACACTGCAAACAATTATGCTAAATGTCATGCAAATCGAAGAAGGCCGAGTTTTTTCGATTTGTCATTTGGCGTGGAATAGTTCAATTGCATTTAATGGTTCATGTTAGAGATGGGCATATCGGATCACTTAGATGAACGGATCACAACCGGTTCATTCAAATAGGTGATCCGGATCTTTTGAATAGTTCGTCGGATCACTTTAATCAAGTTCAATTTGGAATTTGGTGAAGGGTCTCTATTTAATGAAGGATAATTTGAGAAGTAACTCAATTTCAATGAATATTCATTGGCTGATAAGAGGTTGAAGAGGTCTGACAATGCTCTTTACAGCACCGTGAAAACGGCTTCGCCAAAACTAATAGGTAATCTTTGATTATTTTCTGCTCATTCTGAATTCTTAATGTTCTCAGAGAACTCCGAGAAAAACCGATGATCCGCTTCTTATATGCAATTAGCCGTGGATCATTCACTCTCCATACTGATCCGGATCTTTTGAATGGATCGCATCTCTAGTCCACATAAACGAATCTTTTTGTGTTCATTCTGCGCACATGGCCCTTATTTTGCCCCAAATCAGATAATTTTATAATCTAGTGATTATTTGAGATATGGAATATCAGAGTAAAGTAAGCTCGAATCTCACAACTGCTTCATTTTCTGTCTTTGAACTGGTTTAAATAACTTACTGAATAGTTAAATCATTGAAAACATTATTTTCAAAATGATCTTTTATACTTATTATACATGTGAGGCTTATTTGTCCTCATATTCACCTATATATTTTTTCAATAATTTTACAAGGTACTAGGAGAACCGGGTGTAATGCGTTCTAGCGGAGTAATATGACCATCGACCTTTTTTTAAGTACTTTTAAAGCAGCAAATTTCACTAACTGATAGTTCAGCAGCCCGTCTAGCAATTCTGGATGAAAAACCATTAAATTTTGTTTGAAGAATCCATGCAAAAATTCTGTTGATCATATTACCCTGCTGGCACGTTGTACACCATTCCCCTCCACTTTAAATATAATTGATAACTTCTACTAAACTTTACTGACTAAAAAGATCATTAAACGACTTTAAATTTAATCCTTTATTATTTAGCAGTTTATGTCAGAATAAACGCCAAGCACGTACTTATCGTAGTGTGCGCAGAATACATGCAAGCGGAACCGATTCTCGATTCAATGTCCGAAGTCGTTCCCGACCCGTCCCAACCAATTTTGATTGCAAAACTGAGATCCTCAGGCAATAAACCAGCATAAAATAAGCGGTATTTTGTTCGCCAACTAAGTGCTTACTTCGCGCTGCCCTATTCTCCCCTAAATAGGCGAACCACCGTTGCTGCGCTGCACTGCTTTCACGGTTCACATTAACACCAGTCAACTAGCTGATGGTCACCACCCAGCGATCGAGTCAAGTGTTCGATGCTGTAGTAGCGATAGTGTAGCGATGACCACCGTATAACCGCATTCGACACCGCAACAGAGCTTTTTGTCCAACGGTTGGTTGTGTGAAGCACACGCATCTCACCGACTGCCTACCGTCGAAACGGGGTTGGTCAGTGTACATACGATGTGTTTTCCGTGTTGCATAAATTCAAGCGCTGGTTTCGGTTTCAAAGCTCTGCTCGACGATAACGTAACGTGGGCTGAGTATGGGAAGGATTGAATTTCGCCTGTTGTGGTTGCTTGTGGATGCGGTTAGTTTACGCGAATAGAGTTGGGTTCCTCGTTGCGACTGTTGGCGGAAACTGTTGGCTGGAAGACTGTCTTAATTGGTGCAGAAATTCTCTGTTTTAGTTGAATATTAAAGCACCTATGGTTGCAGCTGTAGTTCACATGGACGTTCGAGGTTGAGCGTCTGTTTGTGTTGGTAATTGAATGTAGGTAGGTACATGAGAAATGCACGAACATTCTGCTGGACCCGCACGTTCCGTCAGGATAGTGTAGGAGTACCAGATTCGCTGATTTGTTAACATTTGTTCGCCCCCTGCTACTGCACGGTGCTCGGTCAGTGTGTAATTAATTTTCCTCGAATAATCCAACCATTGTTCAGTGTTGTTAGTTCGTGCGGTTTTGCCGTACATGCGGTTGTACGAGATAAAGGATAATTACCCTGCAGTTATGGTGGTTGGTTTGGTTATTGTATTTTGTCTGTAGATAACAGCATTCGGATGTTTGCGGTAATAATAAGTTCATACAGTTACGATTTTCGGATTGGTTGAATCTTATCAGTTGTATCCCTAATTAACGCTGTTCTTGTACCATACATATACCTTTTGTAGCTTCCACAATGGATGTTCAATCGTCAGCCACAGGAGCAACAACAACAACAACAAGCACAACAAAACATCAACACTCAAACCCGTCCGAGCCAGATAGTTGCGATTGGCGCTCAAAATTCCTTACCGATCATTTCCGGACAATCGAATGCGAATCAAAATTTCAATTCGGCTGAGCCTGCAACGACGGCCCGGACAACCACCTTCACCACCACCACCACTAGACTCATCCTCAGACCGGTCAACGGTTTAGATTTCATCACAAACACGGTAGATTAGCACATACAACTTCACACACAATCAAAAACCACTTTCCTTTCCCATTGTAAGAGTTGCTTTCCGGGGTCTGTACTAGGCTTGTTTGTTTGTTTTTTTGGTAGTTCTCATCCTCAATGCGTGCAATAGGCACATTCTTTGAATGGTCACAATGTTCTAACCCAAACTTTGTACACATTTTTAGCGTCCAATGGTGGGTGTCTTGGGCAATCGTTTCGGAAATGACGAGCAAAGCACCAGCGAAACGGTGGAGTTTGGAACCACGGCCCCGAATCCGATCACCGTGCGGCCAACGGTGCGAGTCACAGCCAGACCGGTCATCAGACAAACGACCTCACGTATCGCAACGCCGAGACCCACTCCGAACAGATTTGTGAGTATATGGTTTGGAATCGGATGTTTAAGCTAACTTTAGAATCACCGGAAGACTGGAATCCTTTTGTACATTGAACGAATGAAAAGAAACGATGAATGCACGCACAAACTCTTACTAGTACAGAATTGTGTTGCAGGCCTCGGGCGAACCGTTGCGATGTTCTTTTCAATCGATAAATCTTTCTGAAACACATCATGAAATCTACTCCTTGAATCCACTGTTTTCAAATCTTTTTCATTTTATTTTTTAATATCTTGAACATTTTTTCAACATCTCTAAGAATTAGGGTTGCTGATCCTACTTTGGACTTATTTATTAACCTGGATGTAGTCATTTTTGCAAAAAATCCAAACAAGGAACAGCAATGGAATGGGTAGTTTTATTTTTCATCGCAAACTTCACTCTTTTGTTATTCCCATCGCAACAAGAAGTTATTTTCTTTCTGGTCTGTGTCTTTGCTTAGTTTATCAAGTTTTACGAGAAGAATTTCAGCTATTTTAAAGAAACCCGCTTAACCTGGGGGCAAGACAGCTATCGATCATGAGTAAAACCGAAGTTAATTTTGAGTAACTCTGAGTAACTAACGCTGCTCAATGTCTTATATACTCATGGCAAGCTGATTGTTATATTGAAAATTACGTTGAAACCGATGCTGTCAAGCAAAGTTAGTTTACGTGCTTTCTTGGAATTTCTGTGTAGGGACTTTTGGGGTGGTTCGATAGGTTCGGATTAGGCTAATATAATTCAATAAATTCAATTCTTAGAGCAATACAGTTTGTGGCACTGCTACCATCTCTCCTGTTAGCGTTGAATTCAATCTTCTGTAATTTTTTTAATTGGACCGCTAAAATGCCTAAAATGGTCTTTTTTTTTAATTTATTCAGTCTCTGACATTATTCACATCCAGTCAAACTTCACAATTGCTTGTTTTAATAAACTTTAATTCATTGCTAGAGGCAATACATCTGGCAACGCTTTTTCAATGATACATTTACGATTGCTGACAAAGCGCTAAAGTTGAAGTGGTTTTCTTCCGCTGGTGAAGCTGGCCAGAGCTCACCTAATCTGGCCTAGAATCAGCAGCTACATAATATACCACAATCAGCAGTCAAGGACCAATTCTATTGACCACGAACGAAGTTTCAAGCTCAGGTTGTACCTCAGCTAATCGAAAAGGAGCATTCCCCTTTTGGAACGGGTCACTCCAGTCAATCCTGTATCGTCCTAGGCGTCCTAGGCATCCAAGACCCGTAAAACCGTCGTGCAGTCAAACCACCACAGTAGCATTTAGTTTGTCCACAATTCGATTTGTTAAACGAGCGATTCGATCTGTCAAATGTGCGAACAGATGCTTCAAACGAAATATACTGTCAGACGATAATTTACTCGCTGCAAATATATTTACTCTGAGTGCAGCTGTCTTGCCCTCAGCGCTCAACTCATTAAACGGGGTAAGCTCATTTATTGAGCTACAGTTACTCTTAAAATTGGCAACCGTTTAGTCTTACGCCTTCAATGTGGGCGTAATGTGCAGTTCCTGGCAAAATAGGGAAAAAATTGAATTTTTGAATTGACCTCCGATTTTAATGAAATTTTGCATAATTGATTATTATGGGACTGTTAATAAACTGCGTATGCACAGTAGGGAGGGGGTGGAGAATGTTAACGGTGGAAGCGGGACATTTTGCCGAAGGACGTTACGCTGAAAGTCATTTCGCCGAACGGGTCATTTCACCGAAGATCAAGCCATTTTCTACGGTTTTTAACTTTTCTCAAAGCTCAGTAAATTTTGAAATCAGTCTCGAAAAAAGATTAAGAAGGTTCGATTTTTTCAACCTGACGAGCTATTCAAATGTAATGCTTTCTTCTTTTGAACATTGAAGATACAACGATTCCACTCTGCCTTCGGCACCCAATTCCTCTGCGATTGACCGTTCCACGAGCGTCACTGAGGATCCGTCATCGAGAAAAGCATATGTGTTGACCTGACCTCTTTGACCGAATAAGGTAACAGGAAGGATCCGAAAAAGGGTTGATGAGGTAATCTGACTATGTACTGTAACCACCGCACTCGTAGATGCTTCGTCCGATTTCGATTCAACCGGTGGCTCGAAGTGCAGTAAACGGTGGTGCCGCTTCGGGCATTCGTTGATCCCGCAAACTTCACCCTTACACGGCCAACGTGCATGCGATGTGAGACAACGTGCGCAAAGTTTGTTTGCCTTTACCGACTTCCAACGACCGTCCAAATCGAGTCTTTTGAAAGCTGCACAATTTCCAATCTGATGGCCGTCAACCTTGCACACCGGACAGAATTTGCTGCGTGTACTTGAATACTTCGGCTGTTGCGTTTCTCCTGCCGCTTTCTCCCAATTTCTCGTTCTGGTTGGCTCTTCGCGATGCTTCGATTGCTCCGTTTCCGTTGCCATGTGCGCGTTTACGAACGACTTCTCCTTGGGTTTGCTTCGCTCTTTCCTTCCAGCTTTCGGCGGAATGCTGACAAGCTGGGTTACGCCACTAGCTGCCGATGACACTTTCGCCATGTAACCGCTGAACACATTCAAGTCAACTACCGGAACCTGCTCCTGATAGAGCGCCCAACTGAATTTTGCTGTTGCTGGTAGTTTGTCGACCAGTTCTTGTAGTAGGATGGGGTTTGACAAATGCCTTTCCAATCCGACTGCTTTCAAGTGGCCGCATAGATTTTGCACCACTAGTCCGAAACTCACCAGTGTCTCCAATCGATCCGCCCGTGGAGCTGGAGTTGCCCTCACCTTAGCGATCATATTGTTGACGATCTGTTCCGGACGACCATACAGTTGCTGAAGTGTAGACAAAATTTGAGGCACCGTTGACGGGTGGAGCAAAAAGCTGCTGACTGCATCTTTGGCGGAACTTCTAAGGCTACGCTGCAGCCGCAGAAGGTTTTCTGCGTTGGAGTAGCCGCAAATCTCCGTCGAATGCTGGTAGCTGCTTATAAAAAGCGGTCAATCTAAAGGATCACCAGAGAAGATTGGCAACTCCTTAGTGACCACTTGCCTGGCTGCCAATTGTTGAGACGATGGTCCAAATGTCAGATTCGGTACAAAACGTTGATTCGGAATCCACTGTGGATGAACTTGCGGAAACCCAGGGTCCCCAAAGCTTTCCTGTCGACTACTTGGAAAACCTTCGTTAACAAAGGGCGAAGGAGATGGTGGAAAAGGAGGAGTATGATGCCGACTGTTCCCTGAATTATCTACCCTAGGCCTTCCAGAACTTATGTTTGGGTAAGCTAATTCTGGACTATTGTTGCCACTTACCGACGATTGACCTTCGTTACGTGTTTGAACGACATCTTCCAACTGCTGAACTTCGTCACGTAACGCCCAGTAGTCCTTTTCCGCTTTACTTCGCAGACGAATCGCTTCTTGCTCCCGTTGACAAGTGACTACTAGTTGGGACTGCAACTGTTGTTCCGTAGCCCGCAGACGCTGGATCTCACTCTCTAGCTCTGCATTCTGCCTCTGAATTGTTGCCTGTTCCCGATTCCGATGTTCGAGTTGAATCCGCAAATCCGCTTCCGATTGACGAATCCGTTGCAGTTCTTCGACGTGTTGGTTTTCCAGGTATTTGATGGTGTCCTGAAGCGCTGATAGCTGACGACCGCGACTTTCGAGCTGAGTACGCAGACCTTCTTCCGATCCCTGCATCCGCTTCGTTTCCTCGTCGTACTGTGCTTGCAAAACCTTCAACCGGTTAACCAGCTCCAACTCTCGCTTACGTCTTGTTTCCATCTCCAACTCGTACTTCGTCTTCAGTTCTTGGATATACTCCACACTTCGTAGCAACTCGACAGCATGCTGGTTTCGAAGTTTCCCGGTTTCGGAGCTCCATTTTTCGTATGATGGTATGTCAATACGTTTCGCTTTCGGGACAGCGCCGGTCTTCGAAGTAGTCGCTATACTGTCCTTTTCTTCGAGAAGATCGATGAAGGGCTTCAGATCGACGAATGGCATATCGGTTCGATCTTTTCTATTAAGCTTCACCACGGCCAATCCAAGAGCGCCTTCGATAGAATCCTCCGAATCCTCGCCAATCGTGACACTTCCTTCAGTTCTTGGGATTGATTCCACCTCTAATCCCTCGCCAAACGTTTTAGGAACAGCAGATTCCGAAACCTTATTCGGTGTCGATGAGCAGTGCACTCCCTACGCTACGCTGGATGCCTTTTGACGTTGATTGTCATCTACAGATGTTGGCACAGGCGTCTGACTAACGACGACCTTACCGGAACTCTCGGCTGCCTTGTTCTGCTTCACCCAATCTTCCGTCCTTCGTGCACTCCTCTGGCTACTTCGCAAACTGCGTACACTTTTTGCATCTTCTTCGTCTTGCCGGTTTAGCAATTCGTGTTTCTGAGCAATAAACTGCTTGCCACGCTCGAGCTTTTCTCGAAGTTCCTTCTCGTTCAACGCTCTCTCCATGTTGATCTTCTCCTGGCTCAGCTCATCCATTAACCTGCGCTCTTCTTCCAGACGATTCAACTCACGACTTGTTCTAGCCCTGCGAGCGCTAGAAGTGCTCGAAATTCCACTGGCAATACTCAGTGCTGGGTCAGGAATACGAGGAACGCAGGTCGTGCAAGAGAAACTAGCCGTACGTACTGTAGCAGTGTTGACGTTGGCACACGAAAAATGGTACCACCTGTTACAGTTCTGGCACTCAACCATAAACCGCTCAGCGTCATTTGACCGCTCACATCCACCGCATTCACGGTTCTCACCTCCACCGTTGTCCACAATCGATGCCAAGAACGAATCTTCCGAAGAACGATTCGACACCTTATCGTCTTCTTCGGTCTGGAGGTTAGCATTTACCTGCTCAATGGCCCTCCTCGTTCGCAACCGTGTTTGCCGAACATTCGACGAGAAATCCATCTCACTTCGGATGAATTCTTTAAGAATCTGTTGCGACAGATTTTCTCGGAGTTCTTCCAGCAAAAAACAACTCAGAGT